GAAAATTAAACTTCAATGCTTTCATTCTGTGAATGTTTGTGATCTGTTTTATATATTCAAAAGTGTGTGTACATACATACATGTGTATATTTTAAAAGCTAAAGTAAAATGCTTTTCACAGTATTTTGTTATGGGAAAAATTTCTCCACCTCACAAAAAAAAGTCATCTTTTCAATGTTTCCACAGATAGAAAAAGCATTACCACAAGGACTGAAATTAACACAAAAATGTTTCAGGTGAAATGAACACTTAAATGGTTATTTCATTAACCTATGAGATCACCAAAATAGCAGTATTAGTTGCCAGACTATACCTTTCTCCTTTTAACACAGGAGTGTTTAATTGTTAAAGGGACTTATAAATAACTTCAAACTCTTCTTTAGGAGGAACAACTTACCAAACTGCAGTTTTCAGTTTTTACTTTAAAATCATGCTTTCCAAATCTTTAATAAGATTATTTAAATAGTACCGAAAAATATTTTTATCTTTTAACATTAGAAATCCTGGTACACCAAAGACAAGTATCACCCACCATACAATGGTGCTGATTTACTTTTACATTCGCAAACATACAGTATTATAGAGCAGTTTTGGTTCACCAAAGCATTTTAGACAAGTTTTCCTTGCTGTCCTCCAACTCCACTTCACCCACAAGTTACCAGTTTTATCAGTTTGGTATATATACTTTCAGAATTCTGTGCATGCACACAAACATGTATTCACAAAACATTTAAAATTTTAACACAGAGCACCAAATGACTAGTTATTACTCTCAGTAGTATATTGTGTACATTTTCAAGACACAAATACTCTCCTTCGGTTTACTGTTTGCTAATTGCCTTAGGAATTTCTAATGGCTGCACAGTATTCCTGTAAATGAAATACCCCATATTCAACTGCCTGAAAAATAATATTCCATGTCTTAGGTAAGCTGTCTAATGGTCAAAGTCATATCTTGAAAATTGAAGTCTCCTGCTCTAATTTCTCACATAAAAATCACTCTCAAATTTTACATTTCCCCAAAACCTATTAATATATGGTCAATAACTAAACTATACATGACTAGCAGGACTATGTAATTTATCAAAGATCAAAGCAATTAAAGAAAAAAACCTTAAAGATACAGATAAAGAAGAACTAAAACTGGAGAAAACACAAAGGGAGTGAAAACAAGAGTCAAGACCAAACTTATAAATCAAGAGGCACTTTAAAAAGTACAAAACAATAGAAAAAAAAGGATGTTACAAGAGTACAGAAAAACTAAACTTTTTCAATTTAAGCTTTATTGTCATAGAAAATAAGTGTGAAAGTTTCTGAAAGAGCCCATAAGCAAAAGCCAAAATTGTTAATATTAAAATCTTTATATTAATCAAAGATATTGTAAACAGTAACTTGAAAATGGTATTACTTTTAAAACCTGAAGTTTTAAGAAATGGTTATTTGGTTCTGAAATGGAGCAGGAGTCATCACAGACAAAGACATCCCCACCCTCTCTCTCTCACCTCTTGTTTAAAGGAAAGTTTTAGCCTCCTAAGCTAAATTTGATTCAGAGAAGCAAAATGCAGAAAACTAAGGAAAGCAGTCAAGCAAAACAAGATAATACTGGCTTAACCATAAAGCAAAGTCAAGGACCTTTAGTTCCTGCGCAAGGCCTGCAGATGGTATCCTGAGCCGCAGCCTTCAGTTGTTTTGTAAAAACTAAAACCCTCACCAGGTGGAAGAACCCAACTGCATGCTAACCACCAACAAGCAGACCTTAGACCCCTAAAACCAGGCTGATAATTTGAAATTCTAAAATGCCACCCTGTTACCTCACCACCACCTAATCAGGAAGAGGTCCATGAGCTGATGACTCACCACGACCCTGTCCCTCATCTTCCCTTTAAAAACCCTTCTTTGAACCATCCCTGGGGAGTCTGTCTTTTAAGCATGATCTGCCATTCTTCCTTGCAAGGCCCATCAGTGAATGCAGCATACTTCCCTTTACCACAATTCTATATCACTATAGGCTTTGCTGCATGTCAGGCAAGTAGACCCAACTTTGGTTGGATAACCGTTTCCTATTAGTTTATCAAATAGCTAGCCCTAATTTTTAAACACATCAACCATGCAGGTCCAAAAAACAGTAACTACAAAAAATTTCCTTAAAGGAAAAATGAAAGTTTTCTCTACTCCAAAAGATCTGCATAAAATAGTTTAAATACACTAACTAGAAAACCAAGTAAAAATCTTTACTTAACACTTAACAGATGTTTAACATGAAGTCTACAAAACACCATTATTTTTAAGTAGGATTCAGTTCAGCTCAGTTCAGTCACTCAGTCGTGTCCGATTCTTTGCGACCCCATGAATCGCAGCACTCCAGGCCTCCCTGTCTATTACCAACCCCCAGAGGTTACTCAAACTCATGTCCATCGAGTCAGTGATGCCATCCGACCATCTCATCCTCTGTCGTCCCCTTCTCCTCCTGCCCCCAATCCCTCCCAGCATCAGGGTCTTTTCCAATGAGTCAACTCTTTGCACGAGGTGGCCAAAGTACTGGAGTTTCAGCCTCAGCATCAGTCCTTCCAACAAACACCCAGGACTGATCTCCTTTAGGATGGACCAGTTGGATCTTCTTGCAGTCCAAGGGACTCTCAAGAATCTTCTCCCACACCAGAGTTCAAAAGCATCAATTTTTCGGCACTCAGCTTTCTTCACAGTCCAACTCTCACATCCATACATGACCACTGGAAAAACCATAGCCTTGACTAGGCGGACCTCTGTTGGCAAAATAATGTCTCTGCTTTCTAATACGCTATCTAGGTTGGTCATAACTTTCCTTCCAAGGAGTTAAGCGTCTTTTAATTTCATGGCTGCAATCACCATCTGCAGTGATTTTGGAGCCCCAAAAAAAATAAAGTCTGACACTGTTTCCCCATCTATTTGCCATGAAGTGATGGGACCAGATGCCATGATCTTAGTTTTCTGAATGTTGAGCTTTAAGCCAACTTTTTCACTCTCCTCTTTCACTTTCATCAAGAGGCTTTTTAGTTCCTCTTCACTTTCTGCCATAAGGGTGGTGTCATCTGCATATCTTGAGGTTCTTGATATTTCTCCCGGCAATCTTGATTCCAGTTTGTACTTCTTCCAGCCCAGCGTTTCTCATGATGTACTCTGCATATAAGTTAAATAAGCAGGGTGACAATATACAGCCTTGACGTACTCCTTTTCCTATTTGGAACTAGTCTGTTGGTCCACGTTCAGTTCTAACTGTTGCTTCCTGACCTGCATACAGGTTTCTAAGTAGGATTACACACATCAAACCACCTTCATAACGGTTGATATGACTTCTTTAAATGATGCAGTCTTCCGTAATATACAATATAAACCCAATACTAATGGGACAATTAGTTTAGATGCCTGTTAAAACTATAAATTACCTATCTTTTCTAAACACCTGTATCACTATTAATTCATACATAACTATTGCTCATCTTTCCTAATACTACTCATATTTAATTCTTCTAACTATAAAATGTACATCCTCTAAAAAAAATTTGGAAAGATGAATCAGAAAAACCATAATTCCACTTTTGACATGTTCTCCCAGTCATTTATCTAACAAACATCAAACCTCTTTTTTTCTTAAGTTATAACCATATCATCACTAAAGAAGTACAGTGATGTTAATTCTTAGTGGTTGCAAAATTAGTCTCTTATCTACATGTACTTTTGTGAAATAATAACATTAGAGAGGACTTTCTATTTCATCCACCAATGTTAAGAAAAAAAGGTACTGGCATTAGAAAGAAAAAGGGCTAATTTCAAATATTGATTTTCTAAATTAAGATGAAAATGACCTTGTATAAATTACAATGTGAGTCTGTCTGAGAGATGAAAATGGAAAAAACTGCATCTACCAAACAGGGTTATTTTGAGGATTAAATGATACCTGTGAAGAGAGCATCCAGCGTCTGGTTGGCACTCAGTAGTAACTTCACTAGTATCAGTTCTTCCTTTCCCCTTAAAGTCGTGAATGCAACACAACTACTAAAAGCCAGACTTTCAGATATAAATTTAGACATAAATAGTAAAAAGTTGTCGTCTTATCAGAGCTTGTATTCATTTGTTATCTAAATTATTTCACATCCCACTTACACTAGCGACAACTCAGATTATTACTACACCAGAAACATTTCCTTTTCCTGAAGTAAAATTTTAAGTCTATTTTACACATGCTTGAAAGTGAAAGTACACTTGCCTATCTAAAATTATAGCCAACAAGAGAGAAGAATGCAGAAAATTCTCTTGTAAAAGTATAGCATCAGTTAAAACCCAGCAGCTGAGAATACCGTTCAAGGATAATTAAGAGATGGAAGAAAAAAGCAACTCTAGACTTTTTTTCTTCCCTTCACTCCCAAGGATAAGTTTGGGGATGAACAAGAGAGTAATTTTTCGCAGCAATTTACAGAGAACGCCACGGACAAATAAGAATACTCCGGGGGAGTGGGGGGCGGAGGGTAAATTTGAAAATTGTTCTCTACGTAGGTCCGAAAAGCTCGGACTCCAAGACTTAAAAACCTTGGGATCTTTCAACAGAACTGGGGAATGAGACAGAGGGAAGAGAGGGTAAGACTGTCGACAGAAGTCAAAGTCAGAAAAAGCAACGGGAGGGGGAGGGGCAGCCCCCCAAATGCCAAAGACCCAGCTGCTTCGCTTGCGGGAAAGCAAAACAGTTGAGCAACTAAGAAAATGAGGAAATCCCAGCGCTGCGAGAGAAGGAATGGAGGAGGGTGCGTGAGAAACTGGGAGACTACAGCGGGAAAAGAGGGGTGGTGTCGGAGATAAGAGTCGACCGGGAAAAGGAGCAGAGGCGGGACGGGAAAGCCGGGACAAAGCTGTGGACCGGGAGAGGAGACGCGGAGGTCTCCGGGGTCGCCGAAAGTGAGGGGGGGGGGGGGGGGGGAAGAAAAGCAGGGGACGACAGGGGGCCGAAGCAGCGCGGGGCGCCACGGTACCTGCAGAGATCGTCCAGGACGCTGCCGGGAATCTCCACCCGTTTGGTCTCCATGATGAGGACCCACAGCAGGAGCAGTGCATCCCGGCTCCGCGCGGCCGGGGACCGAGGCTACTGCAGGAAGACTCCGGCTCGCCGGAGAACACGCAGCAGCTGCGGCAGCAGCGGCGGTGGCTCCTACGGAAACGAGAAGGGAAAAGGGGCGGGACCGCTCACTTCCTTCCGGCTCCCTCAGCCCGGGACCCCGAGGCTGGGCCGAGGCGGGGGGCGGAGTCCCGAGAGCCACGCCCCCGCTCTGCTTGAAAGACCCAATGGGAAGGTGGAGAACTGGGACCCTGAGCAAGCTAAGCCAATGGGAACGTGGAGAACTGAGCAAGCTAAGCCAATGAGGTGTTTGTTTATTGGTCCGTCGGCTCCAATCCTTCTTCAAGCTGCTCAGTTACACTCAGTAAACCAACTTCCCGCCGCTGGTCCTGGGCCTTGGGGTGGATAGGCGCATGCGCATCATCCCTCTTTAACTCTACTAGGCAGTTTGGAGGGTACCGGTTTTCCCTCTGGGTGGTCTTCCGCACACCCTCTCGGTGACTGAGTAGGCGCTCTGACCTTTGCAGTGCTGAGCCTGTGGGCGCATTCATCACGAGCGTGCATGCATGATTTCTGTCACCAGATACCCCGCAGACACCCTCACCGTCACCCCCGCCACTTCCAGGTTGTGTATCCTTTCACTACAACCCGCCGCAGAGAGTTGTCATTTTTGTGGTGGCCCACCGCGTTTGCTCTGCAGGCACCCAGTCCTAACTGAAGACAGGGGGTTTTTATCCCTGTATTTGACACTATGTGAAATATTAATTGATTGAACCTGAACTCGGGAATCTTCATTCCACCTGCTGCAAGCTCACATCACTCCAACTGGCTAGTCATCATTCATTCCACAATCTTGCTTAATGGAGTCTTAATGGATCCTTGCAGAAATTCTGGATCCATCCATTTTTCAACTTGCTCCTTTTATATCAGACTCACAGGCCCACACACACCTGCTCATCCGTGAGTTTAGTTCTTTCTACCACTTAATCTCCCATCTTTTCTCTTAATAAAATACCCACTGCCTTTATATCAAGTTCACATTAATTCTCCACACTACTCCAAGAGCTGCCTAACCAGTACAACCTCTGCCTCCATTCTTAGCCTGTACAACTGCCCAAGTTTTGTTTTGTCCAGATATGAACAGATGACTGTCTTTTCAGCTTCTGATGCATGTTCAAGCCCAATTTTTACATAGGAGCCATCTTATCATCTGTTTTACTCTGTTTTCCATCTTTATCTTTTTGCTTTTTATCAGAAGACTCCTCGTTTGTTTTCCAGCCATCTGTAGTTTTTACTTTTCTAGAATTTTCTTTCATTGTTCAGATGTCTCTTAGTCATGGTGTCATAGCCATGCTTCATAAATCTCATAATCCTATGAGGATATTAATACATTTAAAAGCTTTCTTCCTGAATAGTCTTTTATTCCTCTCAGTTGCTTTTTTCTATTAATTTGGTCACCACCTATCATATCAGAAGTTTTCTGGTGATGCTTAACTATTCACTCATACTTAAGATTATGAAACTAAAAGACTGGAGTCAAGTGCTATAAAAGCTAATTGGAGTGGAGTTTGGGGGAGGGGAGTTCTGGGGAGAATGGATACATTTATATGTATGGCCGAGTCCCTTCACTGTTCACATGGAACTGTCACAACATTGAATCATCTCTGTGTGTGTGTGTAAAGTTGCTCAGTCGTGTCCAACTCTTTGCAACTCCATGGACTGTAGCCCCCCAGATCCCTCCGTCCATGGGATTTCCCAGGCAAGAATACTGGAGCGGGTAGCCATTTCCTTTGCCAGGAGATCTTCCCAACCCAGGGATCAAACCCGAGTCTCTTATGTCTCCTCTTTTGGCAGGCTGCTATTTACCGCTGTGGTCACCTGGGAAGCTATGCCCCAATACAAAATTAAAAGTTAACAAAGAGCTGACTGGAAGCTCCCAGGGTGTGGGTGGGACTTGAGAGCTTCACAGTAGGATGATCTGGCTGGGCTGTTGGCTGGGAAAACATGGCGTTGGAATCTGTAGGTCATTCTTTCTAGCTGGTCAGATTCCCTACAGAGAAAATCCTTTCAGGTCAAACTGGAAGTATTCTGGGAGTCAAGTAGGGAAGCACAGGCTGGAATATTCTGTTTGTTCTCTTCAGTCCTCCCTGCCACAGTACTAGTCTATTTTGGGTTTACTAAGAAATAGGCCCTGAGGCAAGGATTTGAGTGCAAGTAGTTTATTCGGAAGATGATCCTGGGAAAGACTTGTGGCAGAGAAGGGAGGTGAGTCAAGAAAGGGAAGAAAGCCAATGAAAGGATTTTTATCAACATAGTACTGTGGTTGACTGGAGCTAATCCCACTGGAGAACCTTGAAGGCCTTCAGGCACACTTCAAGAGTCATCCTATTCAAGGGGTGAGAAAGATGATACTAATACTAACTTCCACCAGATATTTGTTCAGGACTACCCTGGGGGTCATCACCCCAGCTTGCCACATGGGCAACAAGGAAGGCTCTGGTGACCAGAAAAAGCCCTCATCAGGTGGAAAAAGTTAATCACATGATGACCAGATGCTAGTCTTGTAGTTGCTCAGCTTCGAGACCAAAAGACAACCCTGGAGACAGCAACAGAAGCATCAGTGGTGTATTGAACAGGAGGATCTTACACACGTGACCCTGAAGTGACCCGACCATGTGCAGCAGATGGTAGGCAGGACATGACAGGAGGCAAAGGAGGCTACCATTTTTAGGTGGAATTGACATCAGGTGGGCTCAGTGACTAATTAAGGTCTATATTTAAGAGGATTGGACTGTCGTGTGAGTGAAACAGAAACTGGACAAGCATGGGATGTACAGGAAGCAAGAGAAGAGTCATCTTAAACAGCCTGACTATGGAGACGTGCAAGTAGCTTGGGCAATGGATTGATAAGGATGTTGGAGAGCCCCTTCAGCAGTTCCGTCTCGCTGGGTGTGCATTCTCTCTATCCTACTGTCACAAGAAGGGCCCCATGAGGCCTTCCTGAGATAGACGCCACTCCCCATGTCCTCTACTTGACTCTTTCTGTAGAAAAACTTTTGCCAAAGACTAAATTTAATCAGAGAAGTAAGAAAATGTGAAAGCAAAGGAAAACAATCAAACAGACAAAATAATAATTTAGCCATTGAACAAAGTTAAAGACTTTTAGTTCCTCTTCAAGGGCTACAGATAATATTATGAGCTTTATCCTTTGAGCTGTTTGTAGATACTGAAACTCTCATCAGATGGAAAAAGCTAACTACACAATGACCAGACTAGTAATGACATAAACTTCTCCATCTTACACAATTCTGAGAAATGACTTCAAAGAGATGGGAACAATCAACCCTGGAACTGAAGATTAGCTGTACTTAAAACAATCAAGATGACACATATCAGACCACTGCATGACCAAGTTCAAGGTGACTGTCAGAGCTGACTATGCTGTTCTGCACGTGGCCCCCTCTCTCCGCCTGTACACCCCAAAAAACTCCCCTTTGAAAGCTCAGCAGTTAGTAATGAGAGGGTAACAGGCAGGAAGGCCAGGGGTCTCCAAATGGAAAAAAGAAGCTGCAGGTGCCAGACATTTTTATCTCTCTTAAGCGGCAGGAAGAAACAAACCAGCGATATGTCTTTCCTTCACTATACAAATTTAAAAGGAGGTTTCTCTTAAAGTGCTGTGTTGCCATGACACCTGGTCTCACCTGAAGCTAACTACTCTCAAACCTTGAGTTAACCAATACGTTTCTTTTTCGTATGGAAATGTTGTCTTAAGCTATGTTAATGAACCCCAGACTCTATCCTCAAGTTGGTTCTGCCAAATGGCCTAATTTACTTACTCAGGTATTGTTCCCCTAATCTATGTAAATGAAACTATTTGTTGGTTTTCTGCCCTTCTACAAGATTCAAGTCAATCGTTTTATGGCCAGGAATAAATTATCTGGTGTCATTCTAAATTTTATGACATTCTTTTCATTAATAGACTGTGAGTGACTATATAACATACAGCTAAAGACTAGGAGGGGGGTACACTTTTGCCCCCTTCTGATGCCTATGTCAGAAGCTTTCTCTATCTCCTTTATACTTTAATAAAACTTTATTACACAAAAGCTCTGAGCGATCCAGCCTCGTCTCTGGCCCCGGATTGAATTCGTCTCCTCCGGAGGCCAAGAATCCCGCGTCTAATCGTTCAGCAACAACCTTTCATCTTGGGGGCTCGTCCGGGATACTTCAAGACAAGGTAAGGATGCTTGGAGCTCTAGTTCTTTGTTCTCCTAGCAAACACGTTTTCTGCTGTACTTTACTAACTCTTCAGTGTGCTTGTGTGAATGAATGAAACGCCCTGCGCGAAGCAAGTGAGGAGCCCTGCTCTGCGGTTCCGCGGCGACCTCATAAGGCTTATGGCAAAAACCTGTCGGGGGTTTATACCGACCTGCCAATGCCAAGAGGCAACCAATGTCTTCTTCAGGAACCGACCAGAAGCGGGCAAAGCGTGTGGACCGAACTCTCCTTTCTCGGTCAACTTTTCGGTCTCTTTGACCGTTTCATAACTCCTTGGGAATTAAAAGTACTAACCTAATCTATCGGATCATAGGCTTTCAAGGGACTTGTAATCTGTGTTGCTACTGTGCTGTGGCCTAGGTCTCAAACTTGGATTGGTAGTCAGGAAGCGCCTAGCCTCGCTAGGCATGGAAAGTTCGGAAGCTAGATGGGGCTCTAACTCCAGAGCATCTCTGAGGTTAAAGGTGACTCGGATTGGAGCTGCAGTGGTTTTTTCCTTTGGTAACACTGGCTCTTAGTGGACCAGAGGAGGCTCTTATACCGGTGTGGTGACGCTTGGAAGGAACATCTCAGTTTCATGTTTGTATCGGTCTTACTGTGGTTAGGAATATACTTAGGGTCGTGCACAGGCACTCAGGTGACAAATGTGTCCCCCAGAGGTCTTAGCCTGGAAAGCATTCTGGAAGGTTACTCTGATTGCACCCCGGGTGGCATCGGAGGCAAGCGAGGTGAAGAGCTGGACGTCAGTCAGGGATGCCATCAGGTCTACCCCTGGTGCATCCCCACCCCGTCTCGGTGGTAGAACCGGGAGGGAC